TTTCTGGTTTCACTAGCAAAAGGTTGCACAATGCGTGTAGTATATCAAAAAGTTGTGTTACCAGTGGATTTTCCAACTCCCGAATACATTTACGATACTCATTTACATCACAGATGGCACACATAGCACCAGCCGTATTGTATTGCATGGTTTGCAAATGATCGTAGATGACGCGATGAAAGCGCACACCAAACTCATGCAGGACGCTTTGTAAATTGTCACCATCTACGCACCGCTTTGCCTGCTTTAGAGCAGGTTGCAAGTTTTGCACAACTTGAAGGCAAGCCTATAAAGAGCAAACCATACATACATACATATAGTATAAGAAAAAATAAAGCTCGAAAATAATTGGTTTATTATCAATTTAATCGATTTTAAGAAATAATCATGTTTTAGTATATTGCAAAGTTAAAATTCAGACAGTTTTTTAACCGACTTGCATAAAAGGAGCAGGTTATCAGTTCGTGGGAAAATTTTTTATTTTTATTTTTTTATGTATGTTACCGCATAACTTTGGACCACGTCAATCGATAATTCTTTTTGCATCGGAAAGGTAGTGTCTCAGAGTTTGTCCAATACTAATCTGGTTAAGATCCGATCAGTGGATCATGAGATATATATATATATACATATATATATATATATATATATATATATTTTATATGACAGTTGAAGCCAGTTTTTTTTTGATAAAAATTACTTGTTAAGTTGTTGATTTAAAATTACCGCAGTTATAGGCATTTGTAGGAACCGAAAATTCTTTTAGGAGAGCTTTACTTGGAAGATTTTTATTTTTTGATCAAGAGCCATCTCTATAATTTGGAGATTCATTCATGGAGATTTTGCTCTTTGATAATTTTTCGATATTTTTTTTTCATTTTTAACTGTTATTCTTGAGACTAATATAGCTGAAGAGAAATCTTTGTAAGTTAAAAAATGACTGGAACCACTCCGCTTTTTAGATAAATTGGTAACCGGTAGTCCAATTCCGGTTTTTTCGAAGACAGTTACCGGTAAAGAAAAACTAAATCAGTATTGAATATCCATAATAAAAAAATGGGCGTGATCACTCCGCTTTTCTCAAAATTGTTAACCGGCCCTAAAAACTCGGGTTTTTTTTCAAAATTGGTAGCCGGTACAAAAAGACAAACCGATTCCATTTTTGAAATCAACGGGAAGTAATACTTGTGGGAGTAAAGTTTCAACAAATTACGGCCACTTTTTGCACATTTTTTCAAAAAATTGTATCTCCATTTTTATTTTAAAATGTGATTTTAGCCGTTGAAGTCCGCTTTAAATGTGTCTGTACTAGGGGCTCATATGATTTATGGTCACTTACCGCCGACGAAATTGTATCCATGTCTGTTTCCGGCTTATAATCTGTTTTCTTTTGTTCGCTTTGTAAATATAGTTTTACCCAGCTGATTACAGCGTTAATAGAACGCTCAAGGCCCTGATCTAAAGATTTTTCAATTTGTTCCATGAGCAAACGCCTTTTGAACATATAATCCGAGTATTTCGGGGTATTTCTATAGAATATAAATTTATAAGTTTTTAATTGAAATTCCATTTTTGATTTTAAGTTATTACATTATACAAGGAATGACGGCACTATTCGAGAGTTTTTCAAGCAGATGTACTATAATATTAGTCTTTTGCACCACATCGAAAAAAATAAAGTTGCGGGAACGTTTTGCCTTCTGCTATCGGTATCGCTTGTAGGCCAAGCTCCAAAGCATACACTACGTGTTCGTGCATGAGAAAGCGCAGTAAAATGTCATTTAATTTTATCACATTTGTTGGCAACTCAATCGCACTTGAAAGTAAGCGGCATCGTTTAAGCGCAGCCTTCGCCTCCTGTAGCATATTTATTGCTAACTCCTCACATAGAAACGTCTCTCCACCATAATCTTCAATCTGAGCAATATTAATGTTCGCACGTGTACCAATTAATGCCTGCATATCACGTCTTAACTCTTGAAAACGTTCTGTTGGCTTCTTTTGATGCTTCTTGCTAACATAAAAACGCTCCAATTCGGTTGAGCATTTGGTTGTGAGACACCTTGACTCAATTTCCACATAATTTGCTAAATGTTTTGTAAAAATTTGCTGTGTTAACTTTTGCAACAGATCATCATCCATTACAGACATATAGATTTGTAGATCCGCCGACAATTTTAAAGTACTTTATTGGAGAGATTAATAAATTATTAAGATTAATTTACTGCAAAAGGCAGGCTGCTATAAAACTAACATAAATAAAGAATAGAAATACAAACCTCTGTAAAAAAAAATTGCTATTCACATATGCATATAAAAAAATGGGCATGCCATGAAAAGGCTGCGTTAATTTAAATCAGTGCCAGGCAATTAGTACCCTTGGGGGTGCCTGGCATTGATTTAGTTCTACACCGTGGCTGAATAGATTCCTATTTCATGAGTGAAAACTTACCGCGAATACAATTCATATAGTGTTCGTAGGTATTTTTCCTCATCCCTCTTATCATCCAATTTAGTTAACGCATACTGATGCAACTTCAATTGGTATATATTGAGTATAAACTTCGACATCACTTGAGCTGGATTGGCAAAGACTTTTTTGATAATCTCATTATGATGCTTGCACATGGGTGCTATTCCGATAAATATATCCTTTCCTCCATAGGGAGTCTGTTGGCGAATTAATAATAATAATGTTAAAAATACTGTATATAAAAACGGATTATTCATACTACCATTTGACTTTGTTCGATGTATGCATCAATACACTGAGTGAAGCCCTTAAATTGAGATAAAATCTGCGCTAACTTTTTCATTTTCTCTATGTCTTCACACTTTTGTGCTGTGGCAAACTCTTCAATCAGACGACGTTCAACATCGTCATACATTTTTTCGATTTTTCGCTTCGATTCAGCAAACTTTTCGATCGGCAAATCTTGTGATATGGTATAAAGTTTTTGAATTACATCAGCAGCTTCGTATAGACGCGCTGGATCGGTGAAAATATCGTTGAGTATTGGACCAGGCACCAGGAACTCAGACATATGATTTAGCAATTTTTGTGCTTCTACAGTCCGGCTACGTGGTGTATTAACATTTTCAAGCTGCTCACCAAGGTGTATAATTTTACCTGCAACAGAATTTATCTTCTCATCTAGTTGCCCAAACCAGTCGATTGCAACTTGATGACGCTCCTGCAGCTTACATATTTGTTTGTTGTGTGTTGCTTGTTCTTGGCGCAGTGATTCTTCGAGCCGTTCACACTTTGTCTGCTGTTTTTCTTGCAAAATCTTCATATCCTTTATGGTTTGAATAAAAGTATCATGTAGTGCTACGGGATTGAAGTCGTCTGCATTTTTGCCACTAATTCCAACTTCGTTATTAATGCGCCATGTAAGTCGCTCAATGAATTCCGACACTTCAAAAGGTTCCTATGGATTGCATTAGTTAATTAACGTTTTAAAGCTGGGAAATTATTTATTACCTGTTCAAACTCGTCCATATATTGGGCCAGCATAATTACTTTTTAATGCTTTCTTTACTAAAACAGCAATAAAAAACAGTTCACTTCTGCCGATTTCCCATTACGCCCTTTTTATTGGGATTGTGTAGATGGCCTAATCATTTAAGGTGAAATTAGTCAAGAACGTAAACCTACCGGTACGTAAACCCGAGTCAGCTGATACGATCTATCGTACCAGGGCGCCATGTAAATGAAAACTCAACACCGCAGAATTTTTCTGTAGTCGTAGCCCATAGCGCAGAAATCAAGGTGTATTTAACAAGAAGGTGTTAGCCGGAAATAAGTAAAAAATTACACTAACTAAAATTATACGCAGATATCCATACTGTCATTGGTATGAGTTACATGAGTTTTTTGTTGCAAAATAATATGTTTATATTTAGCTAGCATCTACTATAGCACGAAAAATTGTAGTTGAAGAGGTAAGTTTATGAAAAGGTATTGATGTGCGGCATCACTGTAGTAAGCAACACTGAGTGCTCCGGTATCACCGAAATTCTACGTATACAGACAGCGTTTATGTATAAGTTCAGCATTCTTGACTAATTTCACCTTTAATATCAGCTGATCGGCGCTGCCAGACTATTTAATAAAAACGAAAATTCTTCATACACTGGCACTAACATGGACGTTACACTATCAAGAGCTTGCTTTCAAGTTGCAATACACTCCTAACTACGACGTTACAAGATCAAGAACTTGCTCTCAACCCATTAAAAACCCTCTCTGTTACCCTATGCGTTATATACGCCTACCCAGTTTGTTAACTAACTATTTGTTAACTAATGCGTTATATATGCCTAGTACTACAAAAAGTTTGTGTGAGAAATTCAAAAACTTTCCCTCATTTTTCCCTGTCGGCTCCGCAGGTGCTGACGGCTTGGGACTTGCGAACTTTCTTCCTGGCTCGTAATTTGTTGCAGTTGGCTGATACGTGCGCAGAGAAGAAATGTTTCTAACAGTGAGGAAATTTGATAGATCGTTGCTATTACCGTATAATCGTAAGCGTAGCTTACCAAGGTGACTCCAGCAGGCGGCGGAGGGAGTTTTATCATGTAGAGATTAATTAAACAGCGTCGGGGAGAGTACGCCGGCTTGACGGACCGGCGACGAGTCCAGAACGGGTGGCGAATACCTCCGCCGGGTCAACTGCTACTAGGACCGATCTAACACAAGGTCGACGTTGGTTGAGACTCTCGCTAATCTGTGTAGGGATGGTGTTCAATTATGTGGTGGTGATGTGCATTTTTCGGAATCCACGTTGGTATTGGCTATCTTGAGGTGCTTCGTCATGCTGAAAAGGAGTGGTACTTCCAAAGTTTTTTCCACTAGGGATGTGAGGAAGGGATCTGTCCGCTTTCTTCTCTGGTTTACATACTTACATACATAAATGTTACAAACCCACGAACCTTTTTAAAATAAACACAATAGATTACTTTACTTTGAGTCGCGTATTGCAATTATATTAAATGTTTATTAGGTATTGTTATCTTCTTTATCTTTGTTATTGTTGCAAATGTACATGCGGATGCATATGACTGCCTTTTTCACTTGATGGATCATAGTTTTGTGCCTTAGGTGAGGCTTGCAAAGTTGACGCCACTGCTGCTGCTGCCGCTGCAGAACTTGTACTCGCTACAATGTTAATGGCACTAGCCACAGCGGTTGCAGAAGCTGTCATTGCAGAGCTAGCCAAATCCGGTGCTGGGAAGCGCCTTCCTTCAATAATGTTTGCACTACTCTTCACAGCCACAGTGGGAATTCCATTTCCTCCGCCACCCCCGCTTATCTCCAGTGTAGGTGTTTCAACTAATTGCTGCAAATTCCGAAGTTCTGTGGAACGTAAACTTGCAGAAAGACTTTCACTCGAAGCCAAAGAAGTCGACAGCGGCGAATTTCGATCCATAGATGAAGCAACATCTATACAATTTGAGTTTTAACTTATTTAACAAAAATTCGAAATTTTCGTCATCTTACCGGTCTTATCGGTATCTGGTGAACAAGCAGTTAAAAATACACCGCCTTGTGGTTTAAATACAGACATCATTATTTTTTTCCTCCATTTGCATTATAATGGTTTTCTGTACATCATATTTCTTGTTGAGCGACTGTATAAAAGAAAAGCAATAAAATTTGCATTAGTTCAGCAGTGGGAACTATGTACAATTACAAATACAAATACCCAGCAATAGAAAAGGGTGAATGCCAAACATTTTACTGCTTGCTGGTAATTATAATAATAATAATAACAATAAGAATAATAGATTGGCGCTTACACATACATATGTGTGTTTGGCCGAGCTTCTCCTCCGACTTGTGGCGTGCGCCTTGACGTTGTCACACAAAGCGGAGGGACCTACAATTTTACGCCGACTCCGAACGGCGATTCTATTTTTACGAGAAGCTGTTTTTCATGGCAGAAGTACACTCGGAAGTTTGCCATTGCCTGCCGAGGGACGACCGCTGTTAAGAAAAAACCTTTTTTCTATATTTTTTTTGCGATATTGCTTTGGACCAGCGCTTGAACCCAGGTGCTGATGAGTGAAATCGCGCACTGCTTACCACTACACGACAGCGGCCGAGCGGTAATTATTATACTTATTTTAAATTCTTTTGCAAATACTTATTCGCAATATGATTCATTCTATAACGAGTTAGGCGCAAGAATAAAAGTTGTAGTGATTGCTGCCAGCAAAAGGTTTTTTTTTTAACAAAAAGAACAATTTCATACAGAAAAACATAAAAAATTATAGTTTAAAAAACTAAAACCTCGCTATTATAATTTCTATTCGTACTGTCATCAGGTATGTAACTTAAGAATAGAAATCGCTGCATCTTTTAGGCGCATCAATATTACACAGCTACATTCCGAGCTAATAAAAGGGAGGTAAAAAGGAGGGAAGAGCCAGTGCTCGCATTGGAATGTATCTCCCTATTTGCTTTGCTTCCGAGCTCTATTTTAAACTTATTCTCAAAAACAACTACCTGGGAATCTGCTGTTGTTGTAACAGCATACAAAGTTTTTGGGGAGTGTTGCTAGAGTGAAAGTCTTTGGTCAGATATAAATCTGGGTCGTTCCGGTTACGTAGACCCGACTATCGTGGGAACGGGATACCGAATGTTGTTGTTGTAGTAGCATACAAGTTCCCCAAAGAGTTTGTGGGGAATGTTGCTGGAGTGACAGTCCTTGGCCAAATATATGTCTGGGTCCTTCCGGTTACGTAGACCCGACAGTCGTGGGAACGTGGAATACCGAATTGTAATATTTGGTTACTTAAGCAAGATTAGATCGCCGTAACAACAGCCTTTCTGTGAGAATTTGCATTCGATCTATGAATAGGTCTTATAGAGACGAATAAAATTTTGGCAGTGTCTACATACATACCGCAGATCTACGGTAAAATTACGTGGATTATGTGTTGCCGGAGAAGTGGTGCAGAACTTCTTTATAAGGGATTATAACCCTTACTACTCAGAATTCTCCTTTCTGTGTTGCCGGAGAATGGGGCAGAACTTCTATCGGCGTAATTTTTACCGTGGATCCACGGTAAAAGTTACTGTGGCGCGTGTAAGTAGGCACTCCATAAAGCCTTAGTAATGAATGTTTATAGCGATTTGTTAAATACGAAAAAAAAGTTCATAAAAACCTTGAAAACTTCCTCATATTCATCTTTCACTGCTTTGAGTAGGCGCTTTTGTTCTGTGATAACTTTTTCGCTAGTCTGGAGCTGTGCTTGTAGTTCGTTGATTTTATGTTTTGCACTATCCAATTGCGAAGTTTTTTCTTCTAAAACGTGACGCAAATCTAAGACAAACCAAATTTTTTTTTCAGTTGCAATTAAACAGTAGCTTCAAGCGAAACCCGTACGTCTAGTAAAATATTTAGTTTTATAATTAAAATTGTTTAGGTAAAAAAAAAAAATATTTACTCATTTTAATCATTTTCAAAACCCACAGTAAAGAACGATGAAGGATCAGCAATGGTGTACGTTTTCTTGTTTCCTCAGGGCCAGCGAATTATACTTTATTGTGGGTATAATGAATCATTTAGCCAATCCAAACACTTTGCAAATGGTAAAAAAGAAATACTAGTTTAAAAAATTCTGCACTCTTTAAATATTGTACGAGTTGGCTTTGGGGGCGAATTAAATTGCTTTCTTTTTTCTTTTATAAAAAGCTGAACTGAGTTAAATTTTTAAATTTTGGATGTGTGTTAAATCATCTATAAAATAAACTAATCAAATTCGCAACAACTTTATTTTTTTTTTCCGATGATATACAATAGCCAATAAATTTTAAGCAGCTGTAAGAGTTTCGCTTGGAGTTTTTATAAATTCACGTATTCCTATATTGTGATTTATAAGTCGGCTCACCTTTAAACTCTTTACTGCAGTTACTTTGGAACATATGGAATTCCTCATCGCGTGCTTTGAAATTATCTATTTCTGAAAGTCGGTCGCGGCACTTAATTTGCACCTCACCCATAATAATGAATTCAGCTTCCAAACGTGCTAATTCTTGCTTACATTGTAGTCCTATATCTGCTTGTTGTTGTGCCAACTGCAATTCTGAAGTTAAATTAAAGATATGACCGCGCAAAGCCTCTAACTCGTACGTGTCGCCTTTTCGATTAGCTAACTCTTCGTTTAGACGAACTTGTAAGTTATCGTTGGCCTGCCGAAGGCACTTGTTTTGCTCTATTTCACTTTGGTATTTAAACTTGATCTGGGTCAATTCATCTATGTAGAGCTGCTCACGCTCATTGTGCAATTTGGTGTTATTTTCGATTTGTTGCAGTAGTTCTTTGTTCCTAGCGGTGATACTTTTAACTTGTTCACGCAAGCGATCACGTTCCATTTCAACACTGCGCTTATCGCGACTTCGTCCCATTAGACGTCTGTTTCTTTCCGCGTGCATTTCACGACGATGTCGCTCGTATTGCAATTGTAAATAGAGCAGTTGAAATTGTTCCTATAAAAATTAGTAACAAGTTTATCTACAGTATTCTTCCATGTGTAACAAATTACATCCATACCTGATCCAGTCGGCCCCCTATATCATTTCCGTCTTTTGATCGCGAATTGCGTGATACATACAGATCTAGTAGCTCTTGTGGATACAGCTGATTCCTTTCATGCACGTTACGTAAATTCACACTCTCAAGCAACATTTGAAACAAAGAGTTTTCGTAATTTTGAGAAATATTTTCAACGGTCTGCGTTGAAGCATGATTGAACGAATTGACCACTGCACCGCCATCAAGCAATTGTTTCTTAGCAGTTGCAATAGCTAACATTTTTCCGCTTTTTTGCAAACGATGCTGCAATATGGTTAAATTCTTCGCGTTCGTCTTTGCAACGTTATTAGCAATTCCGTCGTCACTGTCATCTTGAATCTGTTCTGTGCCCGTTTTTGACGTTAACAAATTTATTGCTGAACATGACTTTGTTCGCCGAACATTCCTCATATCGGTTTCAACAGCCTCCATTTCTCCAGCATGTTTTTTGTTCAATCTTACTCTCATACAACTTGAATCATTGTAACAGTCGCTGACCATACGGCTACGACGCTTAAGGCCTTTTACTATTAAAAGTTGCATGGATCGGCTGGTTGGAATTTGCAACCCACCCTCAGTACACATAGATCGATCGGTTTCATTGCAATCATTGCAAACTTTTGTAATATTTTCCAGTGCCGATAATGTTGATGTTGAAAGTGGCGCCATAGATCCTGACTGCGCGGTATAATTTGGTGTTGGTGTTACAGAGGGAGTTAATGCTTGTGTCGGTGTTGGAGTAGGTGTAGGCGTCGGCACATTTGACGACAGCATGTGATTGCTGTTTGTCATGCAACTTAAATCTGCATCGGGTGTTCCACATTTAGCTGAAAGAAATAGCAATAACGAAAATTTAACAATTCCGCTCTTTTTTTAAATACTTACAGTTGATTTCGTTGGGTGAACGAAAAGAATTTTGCTGTTTGGTCATCATTGCCTCAATCGTTTGAAATGGGCTATGTGATCGGCTACGATCATGCACAATCTGTTGTAATCTGCGATCGTATGTTGTAGATACGCGTGTCACCACACGTGTATTTACTTCTTGCTCAAACAGCGTCGTTGTTGCTGTTACAGCTCCGCCATCTGTTGCCATATCGGAGAAATTGAATTGATTTTGATTCTCTTTGCGTAAAGGCGAAGAAGGTTGACTAGCAAAAATGGCACGCACTGCATGAGGATTCGTCATATGCTGTTTATGCTCTTTTAAGTCTTTCATAGGTGTTGTCTCCGGCGTTGCTTCTACAGCGGCTTCAGGCGGAGATGAACCTGTAAGACCCGCAACTTGATTGGAGATGCTGGAAACGAAGGCACCCGCAGGCGGTAATGGTAGCATATAACAAGGTGTAGGTGTTAATGGCATTTGTCCGGATGCTGTTATTTCATTGTAAGGGCTCCAAATAGCACCACTCATGTTTCTATTTGCATCAAAGTCATGTTGCCACATTGGACCATTACTGCCTCGTATGTGATATTGCTGCTGCTGGTCCCTTATATGCTCAGCGGTGTAGTAAACCTTATCTGACTTGTAGGCCGAGTTGGAATCATTGCTTCTCTTCAACTCCAACATAAATCGGGCTTCTCCTGGCGCTTCCATAAGTCCTCTTGATATTGAAACCATTTGCTCAGAGTTGAAATCCTATGTTCGAAAAATTGGCAGGTCAAGTCTCTAGTATTTAAAATAATTTACCTGATGAAGCATGGGAAGAGATAATCTCGCGCACTCCTCAACGACGTCATGAGGCTCCTTTTCTTTCCAGCGACCATGATTAACTTCACTATCTATTGTCGCTGTTACCAGCATTGGATGCATCCGCACTGTCTCTAACAAAGGTTTGATTGTGTGGTGGAAAATAGCACCTTTTTCTTTTTTTACAAAATCACTTAGAAAGGCTAAAAAGTTACAAGGATACATCCCGTAAAGACGATGAAACAACATTTGTAATCCCAACTGTAGGTGCACAAGCTTATCATCTGGTAATCCCTTGGGATTCTGACAGTTCCAAGTTGCTAAATGCGCGAAGACTTCAAATAAATCGCCTAACATATTTGGAACCAAGTTAGGTATGATGGGTAATAATGTTATGATACAAAGTAGCGCACTCATTAGTGGTACGATATCCTTTTCAGTCTAAAAGTTTAATTTGATAAAATGTACCACAATAGCAGTAATAAATACATACCATCAAAAGCTTAAACATATCTTTTATAAGGCGATGTTTTTCAACTTTGAATAACCAAGTCGGATTGTTACGAACAACAAAAAATAAAAAGTTTAAAGCCTGTAAGCGATGTGTTTGTAATTTAAGCCAATCAGATATACGGTCGAAAATGAATGCATCGTGCGGCGGTTGTACTTTGACCAAAACCTCCATAATTCGTTGGGAACCTGTTTTGTAATAATACTCCATCATATAGTGAACAGGCCATGTCTCTTTGTCTGTAAAAAATTTACTGAAATAAACAACATTGTAAACAAATAAATGAACTTACTTTGTGTAAACAATTCCACCAGTTTTCGCTTGGATTCCTCGCACTCGTGTATTTGATTCGACTCCAAATCGACAAACACCCTTTCCACATCCATGCTAATAGTTGACGTTGATTTTTTTATCGGTTGTGTCGCTAAAATTTCGGGCCTTTACTCCAACTACGACTGTTCATCTATTTCTTTTCTATCTTCTAAATGATTGTAAACATTTACAAACATGTGGAAATGACCGTAAATATAAAGCATAAAAATCTTCCAATTTACATCCGGTCGTTTCATCATATCCACCAAAATATCGGAACTAGAACTACAATTGTATTGTGCGGAAAATTATTTCCAAACACCTCATTTTAACTTTTCATTCACCCAACAGTGTAGAAAATTAAAGAGAAAGAAGCAATTACGTTCCCAATTTCTAATATTTTGCAAATGTCAAACAAATAAGATGATTAATACGACAAGTAGAATAGAACATTAGTGATGCCACCTGAAACTTTACCGACCGTCTTCACGTACTGGCAAATCTCGCTTGCGTGACGCCGCAGAGTAAAAAGGGTTCTACACATTATATTCTGCTTGAGAATTGATTGTTATAGATACAGATCTGAATAAGCGACCGATTGTCAAAAGCGAACGATTGCGAACTCGCGTAAATGTACATTTGCTAAATGTGATAGCATGAAAGCTCTTCAAAAAACTATGTTCGAAAATTCTAAATATTGCATTCGGAATGCTGCATTAAAGTCTAAATCATGAACCAATTAGAACAGATCTGACATTGCCTGCATATTTTTGTTTATGCTTCGTCTTTGTATTCTTTGTTTACTTTTCACAGAAAATAACATGGCGCCGAAATTAGGCAGAAAATTTCTTTTTTCTTTTACTTCATGTTGTCAGATCTTGTGTAGTTGGATCATGGGTTTTTTCCCGTACGCAACGCGGGATCCCGCGGGTGCCCAAAATAGACCCAGAAATCTTTCCCGTACTCAACAAAATGGGTAATAGAGCGAAAATTGGAACGTATTGGATCGTAAGTGTCTTCTTCTTCCCGCCCGAAACAGCCAGTGTCAAAGTGCATATCAGCTGTTTTGTGTTCACATGCGCCTGCATTTACTTGTTGCTTTTAAGAAATAGTGAGTGGCCTGTTGATATATTTTCAATCTTTATAACTTAAAATCTAATTTTTGAAACCAAAATTCAATTTCCAAGAATTTGCATATAACAGGTCTATTCTGCACGTTACCGAAGATTTTGTGACCGGAAAATTTTATTACCAAAAAATGTTAACAATTCTTGTCACCGGGTGGCCCGATCCAAAAAAAATTCCACACGCTTGTAGTCAAGGGTCTACGCATTATTTTAGCACTCACTGTTGTAAGATTTGGACACTAATTTATTTACAAATTGGGTTTGAAATATGCCCTTTTTTTGTAAAATTCGGAAATTAGCGTACATTTATCTCTCCTATTCTCCTTAAAGCAGCCACTAAACCAATACATTTTTGTATTCCCCTTCACTTTACACTTCACTCGATTAGCTATAACTTAATTTACGACTTTAATATTTACCAATTAATCACAATTCATTAAATAAAAACACCTTCAAAATCACGAGTCTGACTTTGGTTGCATATGCAAATTAAATGGCGGAGTTCAGCTGTCAAACTCCAAAATATACAAAAGAATGAGAGACAGAAACTATATAACCCAGAAGCATATACAAAGGTGTTCAGCCCTCCTTCTTTGGCAACACAGAAAGGAGAATTCTACTGCCTGGGGGTTATAATCCCTAAGTGCGGCCGAAGGCCGCCTACGCAGAAAGGAATTCTAAGCAAAAATACATTTGTTAAAAAGAACATTATTAATTATAAAAACTTGTTTTTTCTATTTTTAATTTTTATTCTTTATTCAAAATCGCCCGAAATCTAATTTGCCATAATTTCTTTTATTAAAAAATCCCACGGTTTCTGTTAGTTGGGTCATATTCCACTTCAAACTGCTCAGTTTGCCTAAGAAAATTCCGTGTTTCCCCCCTTTTTCAAACGGTTCCCTAGGGGCCTGTGGGGGGAGCCCAAGAGGGGCGTACGCCTGTTTGAAAGCGGGGAATGTCCGCTTTCTAGTGGGGAGGGTTTGGGGAGAAAATTTTCCGATATTATAAATATCGAACAAAATATTGTATCGATATTGAATATCGTATCGGTATCGCGCTTCCCTACCCGTGAGATCCCGCATTGCGTACGGGAAACAACCTATAACCACTCAAGGAACAAACCTATTATTTTTGAACAGCTGTTTTGCCATCAGCTGTATATTCTTCCAATTCCGCTCTTTCGTAATTTCTCCAAAAAACCTCCTAAACATCGGGGCTGTGTTGCATATTTTAAAATTCGCTGCATTTTAATAATTAACAACATCAAATGTATCAAAGACTTTTAAGAAAAAAACTCTCCAGAGGATTTTCAAGTCAAATACAAACCACAAAAGCTTTTATCGAGTATGTACCCTTTCAAAACACAAGGCACATAAATAATGTAGCTTGTCAAAACACAAATTCGATTCATTAATGTTCTTTTTGCCAGGAACTGGAAGAGCGTCGTTGGCTTAGAGGTGCACGCGCAACTACTAACTGATTCAAAACTCTTCTCTGGAAGCAACAATGTATTTGGAGCGCCGCTTAATACAGCGGTCTCGTATTTAGATGCTTCTCTGCCGGGTACATTGCCAGTAAGAAATGATTGTTTTTCAGATCACTAATTACTCAGATTAGTATGGCTCCGTTACATGCAGAAAAAATATACATTATGGGTGCGTTCAGAAATGCATCAAGCCAAAGCATCAGAGTCTTTTATTTCTAAACTATAATTGATGGAAATGTTTTATTTGAGCAACTAAGTTCCAATTCGGCTTTTAACCGTGGTTGCGCATATTTGAAATTTCCATCAATTATAGTTTAGAAATAAAAGACTGATGCTTTGGCTTGATGCATTTCTGAACGCGCCCTATATATATACATGTATATGTATTAATATCAGCTATATACATTTTATACAGGCTCTTAATCGGAAATGCGTTGAACTTGGAGTAAAGACAGCTGTCGCGCTCGGATGTCGTGTCAACGAAACGTCTATGTTTGACCGTAAACATTATTTCTATGCGGACTTACCGGTTTGTCCTTCTCACCTTGAATGTTTACACTCTTATAAAGCTTCCTGACAGGTTGGATACCAAATAACACAACAAAGAGCAGCCTTGGCGAATGATGGCGAGCTGATGTTTCCAGTTATTGTGCCGGGAAAAAAAAACTTACTATAAGAAAGCTCGGTTATTACAACTACAATTGGAACAAGACAGTGGAAAATCTTTGCACGACGAAGAATTAAAGAGGTATGTACCTGAGCTGGGCACTTTATGATTACGATTACATTTGGATTACTTAGTATTACGATTACTGTAATAGTAATTCTGAAAATTTTCAGCACTACTATTACTGTAATTGTAATAATAACATGCTTGATGGCGAATACTTTAATTGTAATCCTTAAAATTTAACAATCAAACCTTTACAGAATATCAGAAAATCGCAATCAACATTTTCTTGATTACGATTACATTAATTGTAATCATAATATTTTGAGCGTTCCCACGACAGTCGGGTCTACGTGACTGAATCGTAATTGAAATGTAATCGTAATCAAAAATTACCCAGCTTTGGTATGCACATAATTGTAACAGCTAAAATGTAGCAAGAATAGCTAAAATTACGCAAATTTGTTTTATTTTATATTTTATAGAAGCCTTGTTGACCTCAACCGGGCTGGTGCGCCACTTATAGAACTGGTGTTTGCTCCAGATTTAGAAACTGGCGAGGAAGCAGCATCCTTAGTAAAGGAATTGATACTGATTCTTAAGTGTTTAAAGTCATGTTCCTGCAAAATGGAAGGTTAGTTAGTATTTTCAATTATGTATATAATTCGCATTATTTACTCATTACTACAACATAGAGGGAGCTCTTCGCGTTGATGCTAATATATCAATTCACAAGAATGGGGAACCTTTAGGAGTCCGTACTGAAATTAAAAACATTGGTTCAGTGCGGAGTATTTCTCAGGCAATCACATTCGAAATACAACGCCAATTTGGAGTTGTATCCAAGGGAGGCGTTATCACAAATGAGACACGGGCATGGGATGCAACCACGCGATGCACGGTGCCTATGCGTGATAAAGAAGTTTTGCAAGATTATCGATTTATGCCAGAACCAAATTTACCGCCGCTACGTTTAGATTTAAATAAAACAACGACCTCTTGTACAGACTTTCTATCCGTAGCATCAATGGTAAAGGAACTACCTGAACTGCCAGAGGATACCAGATCAAATCTAATCAAAAAATATCAGTTAAATCAAGATCTAGCTGTTATACTTGTGGTAAGCTAATATAAGAATATATTTTATTCTTTAAAATGGTTTGCAGTAAGAGTTAGCAAGCAATGAAGAAGTAAGGAGCGGGTCAGACGTGGCAATATATTTCGTATGCAATATATTTCGAAAAGGCTATGAAATTGAGAAAGTTCAGAAAGCAATTGCATGAGCAGTCACACCTTTCATGTGAAATGTGTTTCGAAAGAGGTTTTTTTTATTTCCGAAAGACGAATTGCAGATAGCTAGTGCAGCACGAGCAAATTGAAACGTGTTTGCGAAATCGATTTGCACTCTCTCAATTACAGTCACATCGAGCAACTTTTATTTCTGAAATTGAAAGGTCCTTCTGGCTGTTCACACATCGAAATAAAATTCATCTTTCTCAATTTGGCACGTCTGACACGCTCTTAACTAATACAAGTTTATCAAAATTTTCTACTTTGTTTTTTTAGAATGAAGCCATTTTGTTGCAATACTTTTTAAATATAATGGAGCACCGTTCTGATATGCCCGCTAAACTGGTGACAAACTTTTTAATAAATGATCTTTTGACTTTTTGCAATAAAGCTAATATAGATGTCGAAGACTGGTAAGTACACATAAACGGCTAATATGTTTACATAGTTTTCAAAATCGTGTCGTTATTTATTTAAGATAATGTGGTCATTAACTTAGAACATTAATAATTATAATGCCCTTTTCGAGCCTACAAAAGTAATGGCTGGCGCAATTTCTCTTAAAAATTAGAGGTGGTCCGGAGTAGGAATTAGAGAGTTCCACACGTCCAGCAAAACAGATCATAGCGCCCGAAAATCAATTTCTATAATTTCTTTTATACATATTTTTATATATAGGCCTCGTCCTTCGGGTCTGCAACATAACTTTAGCTCCATGAAAGGAGTTGCCATGTGTTAGAAAATCGAATTCAAAATTTCTCTGGCGCAGAGGGTTGCGTTAAATATTTAACACCAAGTCATAAAATCTTTATCGTTCGTTCGATTTTCAAAAATGAGG